CCTAGGGAATCGTTCACTTAAATATGACCAAATCTTGAGGCTTCTAGGGTTTGGCCCATCATGTCCTTCGTGTCGCGACCTTCATTGAAGGTCGCACCGCGAGCTTGTCGCGCCACGCCCTCTAGGCCCATCGCGCCGCTACTCATAGTAAATGCCAAAAACTTATAAATTCCAATTTATACTTAAGAGCATTCCTAAAAAACAGATGTTACATAATTAATTTTTGGTCTTAATATATGGGTATTTGTAAAAATAATCATTATTTCCGGACTAAGTATTTCAAATTTCAATAAATATGTAATGTAGTTTTTTTTCCTTATTTGCACCAAATACATGTTAAAACCTTTTTACAGATTTCATAAATGGGCATTTTAAAATGTTTAATATTACCGATTTTTCAATTAAATGTCATATTTATGCTCTTGTATCATTTGTACTTTGTATTTGGTATTAATTTTTTTTGTTAAGTTTTAATAGAAATCAAACTACTTCTCAACATTTCAAAATTTTCATAAGAATTCAACATATTGTTGAGGGTCTACAAAGTTAGTCATTATCAGTATTGTAAATCCAGTCAAATGTTATGTGATTATCTCATATTCAAACTATGGAATTGCAAAGAATGAATCTATACAAGTTATCAAACAAAGATATATATATATATATATATATATATATATATATATATATATATATATATATATATATATATATATATAAAAGAGTAGTCTAAATAGACGGAAAACGCACACAAAAGTTTATTATGCAAAAACCTCATTTTCATGAGTTTTTATTCAATTTAACCAGTTCAACCAGATTTTTATAAAAATTGTCTGATTCGTTCCGGTCCAAAAGTAAACATAAAATTGGCTAATTAAACCGCTTTGTTCCTCAATTCGCGGTTCGATCGACCAATTCAAAGTGATTTTTAAAACATTGGTGAATACCCGATATATAATAACAAGTACTTGTAAAATGTTAATTTTAAAAAATTTATTTGATGAAGTTGTTGAGATTCTTTAAAAGTTAAAGGTTACATTTGTTCATTTAACAATTGATTTTGCTTTCATTTGATCATTTACTTATTTTAAGTTTTAAAATGTCAATGAACTCGATAATTTATACGAAAGTGGTTATTGAACTTTTTTTTGAGCATACTAAGAACACTGACCTTTTTTCTTTATTATAATTAGTCGGTGGAGTTTTGAAATTGTGTTCATTCGATATGTTTTTTCTTAATTGTTTTCATAACATTATTTTTTACTTCCTTTTTATATTTTTTTCACATTCGATTTTATAAATTCATTTTTACCGCATTTTTTATGTATTTTTTTGTACATAATCTATTTTTACAATTTTATTTTTTACTTCGTTTTTCATGTTAAAAAAATCATTTTTATAACTTTATTTTTTCTTCGTTTTTATATCTTTTCATAATCTGTTTTTATAACTTCATATATTTATTTTGTTTTTACATGTTTTTTTTTACAATTCGTTTTTATAATTTTTAATTTTTTTTTCACAATCTATTTTGCAAGTTTAATTAGAAATAATAAAGTTGTAAAAGTAAATTATTATGAAAATATAATAATAAAATTAGAAAATATAGTTGTGAAAAAACATGTAAAAACTAATGAAAAAAAAAATGAAGTTTTTTTTTTGAATGAGGAAAAAAATGAAGTTATAAATATGAATTATGAAAACACAGATTCAAACGAAATAAAAATTAAAGTTATAAAAATAGATAATGACAAAACATATTAGAACAAAATAAAAAAAAATAAAAAATAAAATTATAGTATTGAGTTGTGAAAAAAAAACATATATATTAAAATAAACATAATTTTAAAAGGTTAGTTACTAGTTAGGATAGTTTTCAATAACTTTAGATAGTTAAAAGAAAATTCAATCACCATTTTGATATAAGTTAATTTTTTAAAGGGAATTTGACTTATTAAGGTAACTAAGTATCTTGAATGTTCACATATGGGTAATATTGTTTTTTTTGTACTCATTTACCCAACTAACTTGTTTCAGCCGTTCACAAATAACCAACATTACCGGCTATCGTAGCTTTTGGGTGATGTGGCATCTGCGTGGCTTGTACGTTGCAATACTCGTCACCTACGTGGCATTGAGAGGTGTTTACATTATAAGAAGGGTGAGATACGACTGGTGATTAATTAAAACCCTAGATCGATCGATGGCATCTTCTTCCTCATCCTTTTCTTCCAAACGACAAGACGAATTGCAACCGGATCATCCATGTGATTGCGACTTGCCATCTCGTGTGAAGACATCAAGAACCCCAGACAATCCTGGAAGGAAATTCAGAGTTTGTCAAAACTCACTGGTAAATCAAATTTTTTTACTTCTTCTTCATCCTTCAATTTAACATGTTTTTATAAATTTGTTGAAGAATGGAAAAAGTCCAAGCTGTAAATTTTGGCAATGGTTGGATGAGGATGAAGGGAGGAAAGATGGAAGAAGGCATTACAGGATGAAACTAGAAGAAAGCTGTAATCTTACCTTGAAAATTTGTACATTGGAGAATGAAATCAGCATATGCAGGATGAAGATTGAACAAGAGAATAACAGAAATAAACAAGAACTGGACAAAGTCAATTGGAAATTGTTTACCCATAGACTTGCATTAATTTTCTTGTTTCTCTTGTATGTCAAAATGTTATTTTAAATTATGTAGTTTATTATGATGTAGTATGACTAAATTATGTATGCTTTTGTGATGTTTTCAATGAAAAAGGTTACATTGGATCATTGGAATGGAATTGTACATTGTAATGGAATTGTAATTAAACTTGGTATTATAAAAGATAGTAATAAACATTGTAATGGAATTGTGATTACACTGTAATGGAATTGTGATTACACTTCGTATTCTAAAAGATGGTAATAAATTATAAACAATACAAATTGTATTAGAAAGATGTGCAAAAGATGGTAATACATTATAAACATTCCAGGGAACATTGATTTCAAAAGATGTGTCAAAAGTTTTAGATAACATAATTAAACATTCATTACACCCTTAAACATGCATTACACCCAAAAGATGTGCAAAAAGTTAAACACTACACACTTAAACATGCATTTAAGCTATTCCAACTAGTTTTCAAAAGATGTGCCAAAAGATTCCAAAGTTAAAAGATGTCAGTCAAAGATGCCAAAGGCCAAAAGTACAATAAGCCAAAAGTTAATCCAACTCATACGGATTGTCATCACTGCTTCCCTGTTTTCCCTCCCACATCTTTCTTATCTTAAGTTTTGTAATTCTTTCTGAAGGTTTTCTTGCCCTCTGTCCCATTACAACTTGAAAAGCTGGTATGTACACTTGATCTTGAACTACAATTTGGTTAGCATCTTCAACTTGAACTTGCACTTCAGGTTGAACTTCAGCTTGAACTTCAGGGTGAACTTCAACTTGGTTAGCATCTTCAACTTGAACTTCAGGGTGAACTTCAACTTGGTTAGCATCTTCAACTTGAACTTGAGGGTGAACTTGAGGTTGAACTTCAGGTTGTACTTCAACTTGCACTTTATCTTGGACTTCAGGTTGTACTCTATCTTGAACTCCAGGTTGCACTTCATCTTGAACTTCATGTTGCACTTCATCTTGAACTTCATGTTTCACTTCAGGTTGCACATCATCTTCAAATTCAACATCAAAAGAGTTCACTTCACTTTCAGGTTCTATTTCAACTTCACCGTCACTGTCAATATCAACTTCATGTGCCAATCCTTAAGCTTGGACAACTTCAGCCTAATAGTAGGACATATGGTTAAATCCCAAGATTGCCCCTTAATATTCTATCTATAAAGCCTCTCCATCACATAAATTCGAATTTCTTCTAACATGGTGATTAGTGGTCTCTTCCTGGCAGCTTCAATCACTGAGTTGAAACTCTTAGATATACCATTTTCATATGCATCACAAGCCCTATCAGTCTGAAAAAATGCTTTACTCCAAGTTTTAGGGTCCCTTTCCATCAAATGGTCAGAAGCTAGTGGTTCTAATTTCTTGATTTCATTCATATGTTGCTCAAATTTTGCAGGGGTAGTAGATGCAGCAGCATACCAGAAAAGCTTTCTAAACAGTTGGCCCTTAAACCTTTTCATGAAGTTAGCACATATGTGCCTAGCACATTGCCTATGCTCTGCTGCTGGAACCATTTCCTTCATAGCCTCAAGTAATCCATGTTAGCAATAGACACAAAACTTAAACAATAGAAACAAAACATAAGATAAAATAAAGATGGAAAAAATAGAAATTGATTACTTTGTGTTGGTCTGATATCAAGGTTAGTCCATGCCCAACTCCCATTCCAAGGTCCTCAACTAGAAGGTCAATAAACCACTTCCATGTTTCTTTACTCTCCACTGATACAACAGCCCAAGCAATAGGATATATATGGTTATTTGCATCTCTACCTATAGCAGAAAGCAACTGACCTCTGCATATGTCCTTTAGGAAGCAACCATCTAGTCCAATTACCCTCCTACAACCTTCAATCCATCAATCCTTCAATCCCTTGAAACATACATAAAACTTTGAGAAATAAGTGGTTCCATCAGGCATGACATCTACATCCATCTTCACTGTTGATCCAGGGTTAGTCCTTTTTATCTCTTCTCCATAGCTCCATGTTTTTGCATAATGTTCTTTCAAAGAACCCTCTATCTCCTGAAATGCATACTTCCTTGCATTTCTGCATTGTCCAACACTTGCAATCAAATTAAATTTCTTGCTACTTTAGCTTTCAACTTTCTTATACTCATCTTTGGTTTCTGAAGTATATGATTCATGAAATGATTTGCTATCCATTTATAGGTAACAATGAACCCAAATTTGAAGACTCTTGCACAATTATGCATATCATTCAGAGATTTAATCTGGAATGATTTTTCGCTGGTCATCCAGGTTGCCCACAACCTAAAGGGACAACCTTTACCCTGTTTATTTGTCTTACCTTTACAACATTTTACCAATAACCTTTCATGATCACTTTTCTCATACCATAAATCATATCCATTTTTGACTGCATAGCTGGTGATACACAACTTCAATTCCAATTGGTTAGAAAACTTCATACCCAAAACTTGCACCATTTGCTCCCATTCTTGATTCTCATTATGGACAGGGAACACAACATCCTTATCTTTCCCATTGTTTGCTTCCTCTTCATCATCATCATTAATATGCCCTGAAAGTTTGTCCAAGAATGGGTCTCCAACTGTTTTATCAAAAGTATGTTCCTCTTCATCATCCCATTCATGTTCATATTCCATTGTCTCTGAAACTTCATAATCATTTTCATCCTCTACATCAAACTCATCCGACTCATACCCTTTACCATCTGCTAAGGCCTCGTTATCAGCCCAATCAAGAATTGGTTCATTTCGGTGGTCAATGTACACATCTAACTCACTCTCAAGACTATCACTCTCCAGACTATAAACAATTTCCACAAACTCCCAATAATCAACATCACTGTCGATTCTTCTAATACCCTCACACAAGCTTTCCTTTCTCATACAGTAGTAGACATTATCACAGACTCCATTGGTTAATTTCGTAAGCCACAAAAGAAACTCTTTATACGTAAATCCCCCAAAATCCACATCACGTACATTTGTTTTTACGGGGTCTAAGTACACCAATGGGTTTGGCGAAAAGAATCCATTGTAATGAAAATCTACAGATACATACATACCTGTAGATGAGGATGTCATGCTAGCAGTCGACTTCAATTCCAAGCCCTAATCGTCGATTTGTTGTATCGATTGATTTATCACAGAAGAAGGTAATCGAGGTGTGTTTTGGACAAGCTGACGATGACGAACCCTAATTAAATGAGAAAGGGGTGTAATGGCCACGTAAGATTCCACGTAATGTTTTTAACCGAGCTAAATCAATGTTACCGGCTAAAACAGGTAATAGCCGGTAATGTTGGTTATTTTTGAACGGATGAAAAAAGTTAGTTGGGTAAATGAGTACAAAAAACACAATATTACCCATATGTGAACATAAGAAATACTTAATTACCTAAGTCAAATTCCTTTTTTAAATTTAAACGAAGTAAATGACAAAATAAATATCAATCAAAATTTCTAAATTCGAACCCATTCATTTCCACATGAGGGGATATTTATGTAAAATCATTTATGGTGCCACATCGGCCAATGCGGCATAGGACAACCGCCTCATGTTTCACGCAGGGGCCCACCTAGCAATTCGCGGTGAAAAGTTATTGTTAACTTTAGACTAGCCGACCTTACAGCCTAGCCTATACTCATGTTTCATGTTTTTCGTTTCATTTCATTTTCTATAAATATTGTTCTTTTTTACTTAGGATTTACTAATCGGGGAATAATATATATAAATAAGGGAATATGAATTAACTTTTTGTATTTTTCATAATTTTTTTTACATATCTAGGTAAAAAATGTTCATATATAACCATTATTAGGTGTGAGACTCATGTATTACGTGAGTTTATTTAAAAAAAATTAAATATAAAATTTTAACAATTTGAAAAGTTTGAATTTATAAGAAAAATGAGAAATTTTTTGCATTATTAAAATTAATGAGACTTTAATGTATTGAATACATTACATATATAAACCCTTTCTAATAAATACCTTACATATATATTACCTTACATATTAAATGTGGAATTTTAATTTAATAAAATGAAAAATACAATAAAATGACAAGTGGAAAATAGAAAATTTAAAAATTTTAGAAAATGTCATGTGTCCAAATGAAGGAGAAGAGGACATGTGACAAAAAACCTTCATTTATTAGAGTAGATAACTTGTTGGGATAATGACTTAAAAGGGTAATATATTTTTCGATTTGTACACATTTGGTCATTGAGTTTTTTTTCGTCCACATTTACCCTTCAATTTGTTAAACTGTACGCATTCAGTTCTTATGACCGGTTACTCCAGGTTAGCCGGAAAAAATGACTTAATAGGGTAATATATTTTTTTATTTTGTACACATTTAGTCCTTAATATTTTTTTTGTTTCAAAATAAGTCTTTTTTTGTACTTATTCAGTACTTATGAATGGTTTTTTTAGATGTTTTTCAAGACATCTTACGTGGGACAATCATTGATGAGGTGTTTGGGGTGTTGATGTTTATGTCCAACGTGATCTCGACTGCTTCGTTGCGTATGTCTTGTGGTTTGGCTTAGGTTTTGTATTCTGAATGTCGTATCTTCTTTATAGTATATCAGATTTTAACGATCTTTATATCCATGTGTTATTTTTTCATTAAGATTACTCCCGTTAAAATGTAATATATTTTTACTTACGATTTTATAAAAAAATAACATTCATACATGCATTCATAAAAAACGTATGAACAGGGGAGGACGCTGGAATACATAGTAGGTGTTGCCGAAATGAGATAGGTGTTGTTGATACATGAAAAATAGGTATAAACGAAAAGAAATCAAAAAATTTTCCACTGCAGACAGAAAATATAGGTGTTGTCGGTGCAACACTTGACCAGGCAAAATCCGCCCCTACGTATGAATATAAAAATCGTTAGAAAAAATATATTATTTTTTAATGAGAGTAATATAAATGAAAGTTGTAGTAGACTAAAATATGAACGCATGAATATAAATTTCGTTGGCATGGATATAAAGATCGTTAAAATTCGAGATCGTATGAAGAAGTTATGACGTTCAGAACACATGACCTAAGCAACCAAGTAGTCGAGATCGCGATGGACATAAACATCAAAAGACCCAAACACCTCATTAATAAATGTCTCACATAAGATTTCATGAGAAAAACCTAAAGAAATCATTCATAAGTACGGGATGAGTACAAAAACAAAAATGACTTATTTTGCAAATATATATATATATATATATATATATATATATATATATATATATATATATATATATATATATATATATATATATATATATTAAGGACTAAATGTGTACAAAATGAAAAATATATTACCATATTAAGTCATTTTTACCGGCTAACCTGGAGTAGCCGGTCATAAGGACTGAATGTATACAGTTTAACAAGTTCAAGGGGTAAATATGGACGAAAAAAAAACTCAATGACCAAACATGTACAAATCGAATAATACATTACCCTTTTAAGTCATTATCCCTAACTTGTTATAGCAGGTTACATCCGATCATATTGGTCATATGTGAACAATTTCAACAAATTTGTTACTTAGATGCGTACAAAAAAATAGTTATCCAGATATGAACAATACGAAAAGTAAAAGTAACTTACACGAATAGTCACTATGGTTTGGGGCAATTTGTGCGTTTGATCCCTAACTTATTTTTTTTTAACTCGGATGGTTTCTACTGTTTATTTTTGTTGAGCGCTTGGTCCTGTCTTACCTAAAAAGACTATTGTGCCATTATTAATTTATTTTTTAATTAATTTTCTTATTTATGTATTTATTTTTTATATATCTAAAAAAAACTAATAGACCCCACATATTTGTATCTCCTCACCATAAACCTGAAACCACATTTGAGAAATTTAATCTGGGTCCCACTGGTTATCATCCAATCTCTCATCGTCCTCAACTTCTATTTCATTTCCATCTTTAGTGACATCGACGTTTTCACGGTTCCTTCTTTTTTCGGTCCTTCAAATTCGGCAAACCAACACCACAACCCACTAAACATGAAGAGACAGTGGGTTGTGGTGTTAGTTTGACGGAGTTGAAGATTAAAAAAAAGGATGATGAAGATGTCGATGCCACTAAAGATTGAAAGGAAATAGAAGTTAAGGAGGATGAGAGATAGGATAGTGACCGGTGGGGCCAATATTAAATTTCTCAAATGTGGTTTCAGTTTTAGGGTGAGGAAATACAAATATATGAAGTCTATTAATTTTCTAAATATATAAAAAATAAATACATAAATAAGTTAATTAAAAAATAAACTAATAAAAGCACAATAGTCTTTTTTGGTAAGATGATCATTAAAATTTATTTTGTTATACATTTCAATGGTATCTACGATGATGGTCATATTCGCTAGCAAGCGATTACCGACCAATTTTTTTTTTAGTTTTACATGACAATTCAAAAAAAAACATAATAAAATTCTATTTTAAATCCCAACTCAAAAGAAACCAAAATAAAATGAAACAAAAAGTCCGACCTAAATCTCAGGTTACCAAAACAACATGATATTGATCCAAAATTGACAATATCTTAATCATTTCTAAATAAATCAAAAAATTTGAGATATGTAGCCTTGTTTTCTTCTGTTTTTCATTTGTATACTCAAATACAAACAAGACTAAATCAATATGTCATCTCAAATCATCTAGTCAAAGAAAAATAGTGATGAGTTTTAAAAACGATTAGATGGTTAGAGACTCAAGTCCAAACCATGTTTATGTGTTTCCATGGTTGAATCCTTGCAAAAGATAATGGTGAAATCAAAATCACATCACTAAAGGACTTAATTTCCTAATATGAAGACTCAATCCATTCATAGAGATAGTTGCAAATTCAACATCGATGTATCCTTTTTGTCCCTAGTTCTTGTGCCTCCTCAATTCTTTTATATCCATCTCCATTTACATATTTTTTTTTATCTTGCCAATGTTCCATTCCTAAGCTGACACCTTCTGATTATGTGAAAAGAAACTTCCCGTCATTTGATTATCGAAACCCAACCCCTCCCCATTGTATAAAAGAGGTTATAACCTTCGACCAATAGTAGATAATACATCAAATAACGCTCGTGTTTTTTTTATTATTGGTAATTAACTTATGGTACTTTTTATGTGTTGGCATCTAGAAAAACATATTTTAGGTATTTGATGTAGTTTCCTAACATTTTTCTATGTTAATGTTTTCTTAAAAGTAATGGAATTACATAGGGATGTTGTGAATCATAATGAAAGTAAGGGTGTTATGAATCAAGATGAAGGTAACGTTGATCTAAACCTTTCTTAGTGTTTGGGATGTTTTGGAGTAAAACCTTTGTAACTTTTTGTCTTGTCTATAGTACATTGATAATTACAACAATATTTAAATCCCACAATGAATGAGGTTAATAGGAAGATAGATGTAGGCACTCATGCCGCCATGTTCCATCCCATCCAAGGGGTAAAGATGTTAAGCTGTGGAGACTAATTCACTGTTTGACCCTATAGCTGCTAGTTCTTATATTAGATTCTCCTTAAATTTTCGTCACGTGCCAATTTCTGTTAGAGAGTTTCTGGCCTGACCTTATTGGTAGTTACATGTCAAACAACTTGTATTTGTATTTCATGAATTTGTGTAACGTAATCACTGAAGCCTTTCTCCAGTAAGCAATAAAACCTCTATCATATTAGACTGTAGACGCAGTCGATCATCCTGATCATGTTAATAGTGACGGAGCTTGAACATTTGAGTTGGGGGGCCGAAAGTAAAATATATATAAAAAGTGGAGTTTAGTTTTAGGACTAATATGTAAAAAAAAATTTAAAATAAAGGGCTAGTTCTAAAAAAACAGGGGGGCCACAGCCCCCCCCCCCCTCCCCCCTTCGCCCTTATGAAGATTCGTCCCTACATGTTAACCACGTAAATATTGTGTTCTTAATTTTGTTTACATTTATTACTCTGTTTTGAGAAATCGTTGAATCATTTGTTGAGATGCTTAAAATATGACATCCCCATTTTCACGGCCATAAAAGACCTTAAACATCCCAAAAATACGGTCCAAAATTTT